TTCTGCTATTCAAGGAAAAAGCCGGTTTTTAAGAGGTCTGCCCTCTGCGGAAAAAGGGCAGTTATTTTAATTTCGGCAGTCCGGGCCATTCTCAATTTTACCGTCCGAGCCGAATGCTCCGTACGCGTACGAGTCCCACTCGCACACGGCTTTGCAATCCCGCCCTTGGGTCCATAGATCCATTTCATAATACTTCATATGTTGCCGTTCATTAGCTCATGAGAGCCAGAGATTTTTTCTGCCGTGAAGTTTCCGGCAACCCTCTATTTTGTTGAGATATATTAGCATCCCCCACAAACCGCGATGGCCTACCCCCCCTGGGCAGCCTACTGACTGTAGTGTCATAAAGCCATTCCCAAAGGGAGGCACACACACACACACACACACACACACACACACACACACTATAACCTGCTACCTCCTAATGCGTCGTTCAAATACTGAAATATTAAAGGTAACGGCTATTCCGTAATATATGACAGTTACCTTGGATTCAGTTGATTTTTATAGGGATAGCTGTTCTCTCTCTCTCTCTCTCTCTCTCTCTCTCTCTCTCTCTCTCTCTCTCTCTCTCTCTCTCTCTCTCTCTCTCTCTCTCTCTCTCTTTCTCTCTCTCTCTTTCTCTCTCTCTGGGTTTGTGTTGGTTTATGTGAGTGTGTATGTGTGTGTGCGTGTGTTTGTGTGTGTGTGAGTGTGTGTGTGTGTGCGTGTGTTTGTGTGTGTGTGTGTGTGTGTGTGTGTGTGTGTGTGTGTGTGTGTGTGTGTGTGTGTGTGTGTGTGTGTGTGTGTGTGTGTGTGTGTGGCGCGCGCCCTCGCTCGTTCGTGTGAGCAAATGCATGTGTGCGTCTGCGAAAATAAAAAACCTCATAGTCGGCATCTTGCGACACTAAACAGCGAAAGACATTCCAGTCGAATGTACATCTGTCTGTTCGTGCTTTGTTATGTTCATGTAAAAGACTGACAAGAATACACCAAGTCTTCAGTCGACACTCTCTACTAAAACTAAGACATCAAGTACCAAAGGTATCATGTAAGTCACCAACGTCTGTGGTGTAGTGACTTGGTACTTTGCCGTCGCACGCGCAAGACCCGAGTTCGATACTCGCGTGGGGAGAATTATTATCGTCGAGAATCCCGGTCTTCCTGTTGGTACATCGTATCTAGATCTACACCAACCCTCTCCGGCCCACTTGGCCTTGACAAACAGGTCCGAGGCCCGCCTCCCGAATTCCATGATCTAAATTGATAACTGGGCGCACGTTGACCCGGTTGGGGACAGTGAACAATCAATTTTAGACTTGAAAGTTCAACAACGCAACACACACACACACACACACACACACACACACATACACACACGCACACACACACACACACACACACATACACACACGCACACAAACACACACACACACACACACATACACACACACATACACACGCGCGCACACAGCAACAACAGCGAGCAGCAACAGCAGCAGCAACACAACGACCCAGGAAACGTTTGTTTGCGCACACTTTGAATTTTTCAGAACTAAATACAGCAAATACCCGTGTATACTAAATCGATACCCGTTGAATGTCACAAGAAGACTTCAACTATGCATAATCAGATCACCGTGACCTTTGCTGCGAGCGACAGCCATCTTTAAAAAAAAATAATAACTGTACTAACGGACGCTCACCCGTCGACGATTTTACCTTTATAGCACACAATGGTGCGCGCGGCGGAGGGCATCGTCGGGTGTAAGTCTATATTATGTAGGCTAATGGGTTGGGTTTTTTTCTTGTTTCGTTTTGTTTAGTTGGTTTTATGGTACCTGCAACACAAATTTTAATAGGTCATACAACAGCAGAAAATTAAAGATGTTATAAGAGAGAAAAAGGAGGAGGAGCGATTTTTATAAGGACGATAGATGTTTGTTTTTGATCTGGAAAAAGGAGCAAACCACACCACAGCGTGCATCAACCGGCCGCACATACGCAAAGAAGTATAATAATATATAATTATATAGTTTACAATTAAAAAACAGATGAAAAAGATTTAAAAACAACAAAGTAAAAACCCTCACGGAAATCTATTAAAATGTCTCCTTTGAGCTTGGAGTGTCGGCACTTTTCCTCATTCACATAGAATATTAATCAAAAACAACCCAGTTAGCTGCCACTCTCCCTTATCTCTACGGCTCTTGTGAGTGTCACCAGAACACGTATCAAATTCCCGGATCTCCATACCACACCACACACGCGACTTTATAAGCCCAGGCGTAAACCTACCCCGGTCGGCTGCAGTTACGTGTTACGGCACACAATCTGTGAATCTCCCTCCCCTACCCCCCCCCCCC